GCCCCCGTCGCCACTGCTGCTGCTTTTGCCCCTGCTGCCGCTGTGGCTGGGCCTGGCGGGGCCCGGGGCCGCGGCGGACGGCAGCGAGTCCGCAGCCAGGCCGGGCCGGGGCGGAGCCCGCGCCGTGCGGGTGGAAGTGAAGCTGCAGCGGCAGGACGCTCTGATCCTGGAGGGTGTCAGGATAGGCCACGAAGCCGACCCGGCGCCCCCCCTGGGCGGCCGCCTGCTGCTGGTGAGCGCCGCAGGACCATCTGGCCATCTCGCCTATACCCCCCTCCCAAACCTCCTGTAGACCCTGCACCCAGAACCAGCCTTCATCCTGGACCAAACCCTGACAGCTCAGAGCCCCTCCCCAGGTTGCTCAGGCCTCCAGCATTCAGGCTTCCAAAACCTGAGATCCAGATGCCCTCCCCTCCAAACTCCCAAACCCTGGCCTGGCATCCTCTGTGACCGACCCCGGCTCCCTCTTCCTTCTCCCCCTTCCTCCCCCTGCTCATGGCCCCTTGCACGCAGATGGACATCGTGGATGCCGAGCAGGAAGTGCCCGTAGAAAGCTGGATTGCAGTGGCGTATGTGGGCAGGGAGCAGGCGGCCCAGTTCCACCAGGAGAACCAGGGCAGTGGCCCCCAGGCCTATCCCAAGGCCCTGGTCCAGCAGGTGCAGGGAGTGTATGTGGGGGAGAGGGGCTGGAGGAAAGGGTTTCAAGGCATCTGCTAGAGCCAGCTACCAGATGGGTCCCTAAGGAGCTTCCAGAGAAGCCCTGGGCCTGGGTAGGTCAGGGGACCCCAATTTGGAGAATTGAGTCAGTATGGTGTAGAAGCAGGGAGGGGGGGGGAGGTCAGAGAGAGCTCAGGAAGCTGCACTAGGCTCTGGGTATGGGATGGGGAGTATGGGAAACTGGGAGCGAGTGGGGGACTGGTCCTACAAGGACCAGGGAAGACACAGCATTGTTTGGATCCCACAGAGCATATAAGGGAATGCTGGAGGAATGAGAGTTTTTGCCCTTGACCTCAGGAGCTTATAACTAGTCTGTCTAGAGGAAACACTCACTGCAGAGCCAGGAGCTAATAGCACCTGGGGCTGCAGGTGGTGAGTCAGGTGTGTGGGCAGGGTATGTGTCAACCTCCCGCCTTCTGTCCTGCAGATGCGGCGGGCCCTCTTCCTGGGAGCCTCTGCCCTGCTTCTTCTCATCCTGAACCACAATGTAGTCCGAGAGGTAAACCGGAACAAGCTGTGGGGGTGAGCTCACCAGAGAACAGGGGACCAGGGCCTGCTGACCTCCCTGTTCCCCTGCAGCTGGACATATCACAGCTTCTGCTCAGGCCAGTGATCGTCCTCCATTATTCTTCCAATGTCACCAAGCTGTTGGAGGCACTGCTACAGTGAGTTGGGGTTTGGGCTCTTGAGGACGGGGCCTGGGAGCCTGAATGCTGAGGGCCCCTGGCTCTCCCATGGGGCTCAGAGCTCTCAGGGCCAGGGCCCTATCTGTTAGCCTTAAGACTATACTCTCCCAGGCTGAAAAATGGGTGAGGGGACAGGAAGGAGGCGCCAGGGCTTAGAGCAAGGGGGCAGCTCTGTGGGCAGAGGGGGCTGGCCCCAGCTAGGAAGAAGCCGGATACCTGATTAACAAGCTCCCTGGACTTGCAGGTTTCCCTGGCCTGGCTGGTATGAGAACTAGAAAAACAAATAGCTGGGAAAGGCCTGGGGGCCAAAGCCAAAGGCCTGCAGGAGTGACATTCTGGAGTATACCTTTCCCACAGGGCCGGGGTAGGTGCGTTTGGGCTTTCCTTCCCAAGAGCCCTTCTGTTTGGCCCCTCTGTGACTTTCCTTCCCAGGAGGACCCAGGCTGCAGCCGAGATCACCAGTGGAGAGTCCCTGTCAGCCAATATTGAGTGGAAGCTGACCCTGTGGACCACCTGTGGCCTCTCCAAAGATGGCTACGGAGGATGGCAGGACTTGGTATGCCTGGGAGGCAGTCGTGCCCAGGAGCAGGTAGGTGCCAGCAGATTATACAGGGCCCAGGGAGAGGAGACTCAGGTGGGGCCACACACATGACTTATCTCACAAATTGTGTGACTTCTCCCCACCTCGTGGCAAGGACAGCCTCTCTCAGTCATGGGGCTGTCGTGAGTGTTCAGTGACATGGTACAGGTGGGTGCTCAGTGAGGCACCTGGCCAGAATCATGTGCAGACAGTGTTCACTGCTGATGTCATCACGTTCTGCTCAGTAGCCTTCTTTGGCTCCCCATTGCTTATAGAATAAAGTTCAGGCTGCTTAGCCTGTCTTTTACAGCTCTCCTGGTCACTCATCCTACTTTTCTAGTCTTCTCCCTATGCTCTGCCCACCCTGTGCCATTCACTGGCCTCCACACATGCCCTGGTCTCCTGAAACTGGGCCTTGTCCATGCTTGGCTGTATGTGTAGACACCCTTTTCCTCCATCTCCCTATGTCCCATTTTAGCCAGACCTTCACAGCTCATCCAGGCTGCCTTCTTTGAAAAGCCTCTCTCGCACCCTCAGCTTGAAGTCCCTCTCTCTCTTCTAAATCACAACAGTGCTTTGTCAGGCCTTTCCTAGGGCTCTTAGGAGAGCCATCCTGTATGTGTGGGTAACGTGACTGTCTCCTGACAGCCGGGGCTGTGTTGTGTTTATCTCTGGATTTCCCAATGCTTTGTATCAAGGGGGTTCAAAGGTAATCCATAAGCATTTCTTGAGTCCCTACTCTGTGCAGAGCAGTCACGCCCTGGTTTTCTGGTGTGCAGCCCCCAGCAGGTGTCAGCCAACATAGGCTGTGCAGGGCAGCTTCAAGTCAGGCAGACTCAGGTTCAAATCTTGGCTCCAAAATCTTAGCTGAGTGATCTCAGGACAAGTTTTTAAACTCTGGTCTCATGTTCCTCATTTGTAAAGAGAGACAGTACATTCATGGGCAGCTCACACAGACCCCTGGACAGGGCAGGCATCTGATGAGAGGCCAGGAGGGGGTGCCACAGAAAGGCTAGAGCTAGAGAGGAGCAGGCCAGGAGAGAGCCCACGGGGGCATGGCAGTGGAAATGCACACAGTCTGCAGATTGGTCTGGATGGTCCAGAGGGCAAAGCAGGATGGCCTTGGCCATACTGCTGGCCAGAGTGGGGAGGACCATACAAGTGTTGAATGGCCACGGCAGCTGAGGCATCTGAAGGGAGCTGGGGCAGGTGTCTCAGACCCTCCAGTCCCTGGGAATCCAGACTGCAGCAGTCACACATCAGGAAGGTCTGATGAACCATGCCCTGCTCTAATGGGTAAGCCCAGCCCCGCCCCTCCCTCCTCACCTGGGGCTCCCCAAGGTGTGTTGAGCCTGGGGAGCCTGGGTCTCTGGTCTGCAGCAGAGCTTCAGGCTGGCCACATCCCTGGCCCACCCAGCACTTGCTAGCTGCTCCACAGCAAGGAGCTCTAGAGCAGGCTTGGCCCTGGAGAGCTTACACTGTACTGGCCATTCTGAGTCTTGCCACATGTCAGCCTGGCTCAATATGACATGGGCACAAGAGCAGGGCAGCTCCAGCCCTGGACTCATGGGTGCCCCGTCTGGGAAGCAGATAGGCTGGAGATAAGCTATCACTCTGCTGGGGTGAGCGCTGAGGAGATGGTAGGCACAGGACCCTCCAGGACATAGCAAGGGCACCTGAGCTCAGCCTAGGGCTTGGGGAAAACTTCATGGAACAGGTGCCAGCACCCCATTGCAACTGGCGGGGAGACGGGGGCAGGATGGAGGGGGAGCAGGACTGATTGAGCACCTCCACTCCAAGCAAGATCTCGTACTAACAGCCCCCAACCTCGCCTGAAGTGGTGGCCTCCTTTAACGTCAAATCATTTCTCAGCCCCTCTCCCCCAGCACGGTGGTAGTTGAACTTCAGCATTAGTTGGGGAAGAACGTGATGGCAGAGAGCTACCAGGAATGCAGAAAGCTTTTAAGCTAATGTGTTTATTAGTCATAACACATCTGCAGGCTGTGTGAAATGGCATGCCTGTGTGAGAGAGTGGGCCATGCTTTGCTTACTCTGCCACATCATTTCCTGAGCCAGCTGTGTAGTAGTCAGAGCCTCTAGCAGCCACTTCTGTCCAGGCTGAAAGTTCACACGCCCTCAGTCTCAGGGAGCCAGCCCCCAAGCCCTGTCACTTCTCTCTCCTGGGGTTTCACTTGCCCCTCCCCCATCCCACAACCCTCCCTGCCCTGGCCTTACTCACCCATTTCCCACCCACAGCCAGAGGGATCTCACCTGCAGACCCACCACTGCAGCTCCCCTTCCCTGCAGCATGCACCCCCACTCAGCATCCCATGCTCCTTGCCCCCTCCCATGTCTATGTCCTTCCAGACACAGTTCTCTGTCTTGGAAACTCTCTTCTTCCCCACCCCTTCTCTTGCCTAATGCCTCTTGATACCCTTTGTTCCAGAAGTTCTCCCTGACCACCATGGCTGGCCCCTCGCCTGCCCCCAACCCTCCTCACACCCACTCTAACCATGAGTTTCTTGCTGCTGCCCTTAGTGGTCTGTGAGCTCCCATCAGTGGGAGGGAACCATATCTGATGTGGTCACCACTGTAGCCCCAGTGCCTCACATAGTCTTTGTGGAATGAATGAATTTGGAAAGGAAACATGACTGAGAGGACACTTTAAAACCAGTGGGGTTGAGGCTGGCTGGGTAGCTCAGTGCGTTAGAGCATAGCCTTGTACCACCAAGGTCAAGGGTTCAGTTCCCTGTACAGGTCAGCCACCCCGCCCCCACCCCCAACCAAGAAGAAAATACATGTAGGCCCTGGCCCTGGGGGGGGCCTCAGAGTTACTGGGGGAACAACACTGACCTTGACTTAACTCCCACCATATGCATTGAGGGAAGAATGTAGGGCAGCCCCAGCATCCTTGACACCTGCTTGCCTCCCCAGAAGCCCCTGCAGCAGCTATGGAATGCCATCCTGCTGGTGGCCATGCTTCTGTGCACAGGCCTTGTGGTCCAGGCCCAGCGGCAGGCATCGCGGCAGAGCCAACAGGAGCCCGGAGGCCAGGTGGGAGCTAGCCCAAGGGAGCCCCAGCGCCCCAGCCTGAGGGCCTGCAGGACTATGCCTGTCCTCTCCCCACAGGTGGACCTGTTTAAGCGCCGTGTGGTGCAGAGACTGGCATCCCTCAAGACCCGGCGCTGCCGTCTGAGCAGGGCGGCACAGGGTCTCCCAGAGCCTGGCATGGAGACCTGCGCCGTGTGTCTGGACTACTTCTGTAATAAGCAGGTTAGTGCCTTGGGCAGAGACCAGCCACTGGCTGACCTGTGATGTCCCCTCCCTCACCCTATTCCCAAGAGATCTTGGAACCACCTCAGCCAGGCCCTTCTCTTTCTAGCCCACACCAGGGCTACAGAAAGCAGAATGGAGAGGGGCGGGCCACGATGTTTCAGGTGAGGGGCACGGGACCAGGCAGGCACCCCACCTGGATTCCTGCCCCTGTGCCCCATGGCCTGAGCCCTTCCTCGCACACCCCTGCAGTGGCTCCGGGTGCTGCCCTGTAAGCACGAGTTTCACCGAGACTGCGTGGACCCCTGGCTGATGCTCCAGCAGACCTGCCCACTGTGCAAGTTCAATGTTTTGGGTGAGTATCAGGGCCGGGGGCCCTCGGCCAACTCCACCTGGTCCCCACCTGATGCCTCCCTCCCTGTTCTTTTTCCTGTTCCCCTGCAGGGAACCGCTATTCAGATGATTAGGTGCTCAAGCTGGGACTCTCCACGTGGGGACAGACCCTTCCCACCTGCAACCCAGCCCTCAGCCTGGGCTCCTGGGACAGGACAGTAGGTCCTGTGAGTGGGAGGAAGGATAGGGACCCCACCGTGTCCACACTGGGAAGGAGGGACCTGCAACCCCAGCTGAGGATACAGGGCCAGGACCAGTCGAGGAAGAGAGGTCGCTTTGGGGCCCTTCTCTGCAATCCTGGGACATCTGAATCTGCCCTCCTCACAGGCAACTCCCAGGACTCTAGTGAAAGAGAATGTGGGGCCAGGGCAGCTGTCCCTAGGGCTCTGGGAGCTCTGTGTGGCCTGTCACAGCATCCCTGGAGGCTGAGGCTGTGGCTGCAGTGTTTGGGTTTTGTGCTTATTTATTGGGGGCTGGCTTGAGGGAGGAGCTGTCTGGCCTTGGGGTACCTGGGCCTGACCATCTTTCAGGATACCTCTTGGTCAATGCCATGGTGTTAAACCCAGAGACTCCTCCACTGTCTGCTGCCTCAGTCCATGGGCATTGGGAGCTGCAAGTCCCACTGCCTGTGCAGCTGGACTCCCTTCCCGGGCTTGGCTGAGACCAGAGGCCTTAAGAACCATCCGGTCCTGTACTTCGTGGTTGGGGCTGTGTCACTGACTGGGATACTTGAAGCCACAGGATCAATGTGGTGCATCTTCCAGGGGCATCCACTTTTCTAAGAGTTGGGGTAGGGAAGGTTTAATAGTGAAATAAACATGGATATATTTTAACATAAGATGTAAAATGTGTGGATATTTTAAAATTTAAAAAAGTTGCCTTGGGTTCTACAGCCTGTGGTAGGTGGAATTCTAAGGTGGCCCCCAAGATCCTCCCACCCCATCGTGAACACGCCTTGTATAGGGATTTTACTCCCATGATTAAGTTATGCTAAATGGCACAGTTGACCGTTAGACAAGGAAGATATCCAAGTGGGCCTGACCTAACCACATGAGTCCATGAAAAGCAGAGTTTTCTCCAGCCAGTGGAAGAGGAGGAAGTCGGAAATTTGAAGCCTGAAGGGGATCCCATGCATAAGAAATTCTGTTGCTGACTTGGAGATGGAGAGCCCACATGCTGAGGAAGGTAGATGGCCTCTAGGAGCTGAGAGTGGCCCCAGCTGACAGCCAGCAAAGACAAGGGGACCTCAGTGATAAATCCTCAAGGACTGGAATTCTGCCAACAACCAGAATGAGTTTGGGAGTGGATTCTTCCCCAGAGCATCAGAAAGGAAGGCAAGCTGGCAGATACCTTCTGAGACCCTGAGCAGAGAACCCAGCTATGCAGGGCTTAGATTTTTACCCTACAGACCTGTGAGCTAATAAATGGATGCTGAGTTGGTGGAGGGATGAGAGTCAGTCAGCTATGAGAGGTCCTTTCCCAGAACATGGGCACAGGCCTCCTGCTCAGGAAGCCACCCAGAGAGCTGGCTGTCCCCTATGAGGGGGCACCCAGGACATCACAGCCTCCCTTCAGGAACCCCCTGGCTCCTCAGAAGCAGTTGGGAAGACCCTGGCTGTGCCAGCTCAGCTGCACACTCGGCCTTTCTTGACCCTTCTCTGTAAACAGGTGCTCTATCTGATGGCCTCCTCACTAAGGGGAAATGTCAGAGGAAGCTGCGAATGTGCACCCTCTGCAAAGCCTCAGAGCCTGTCACAGACCAGGTGACTCAGGGCAGGCCAGTGGCTTCATGAGGAAAACTGGTGGCATCAGTACCCAGTCATGTAGCATTCTGGACTGAGTGGACCTCAAGGGACAGGCCTGGTAAAGCCAGGGGTGTCTAGCTGTCTGGTTGGGTGAGGCCTTGCCCTGCCTTCAGTAGCTTCCTGGGGCTCTGACCTTGGAAATTAGAGAAACCTTTCATGACTCTCACCATTTCCTAAAGGCAAGGAGTTCTTCATTGAAAGGAGGCCTGCCATTTTGGGGGTACTTCATGTCCCCAGCCCCAGGTCCAGAGCCGGGGTGGGAACTGAGAGCATCGCTGCCTTCTGCCGTCTTCCATGAGCCCAGCGCTGGGACGCTAGCCTCTGACTCCTTGCTTGCCTCAGCCCTTGCCCTGCACACCCTCCATCCTGACCCTCCTCTTAGTTGGTGCTGGTCATTAAGTCCAGGTTTACCCTTTAGCCCTTGCTATGCAGATAGCAAGACTGCCCTTCCTTCACCTGGCCCAGGTGCTAGAAGCTTCTTTCTGCTCTCAGTGTGCCCTCCTCTCCCATAGTCCCTGTCAGGAGGGAGGCAGGAAGCTCCCATTTACTGAGGACCCACCGTGCCAGGACTCTGCTAGCTGATGACCTGCATGCCTGGGGACTGTGGCCCCTGCCAAGGACAGGGAAAGAGGGACTCCTCCTCCAGCTCAGCCCTGCTGTGAAGCCAAGACTGCTGTGGACAGATAGCTGTGGCTTTATTTCACTGGGTGGGTTGCCAGCCACCTGCCCTCCAGCCCTAACCCCGCTGCAGGTTACATGGGCCGCTCCTGCAGCTGGTGTGCAGAGCTGCCCTGGCCCCGGCCTGGGGAGAGCCTCCTCCTCAGCCTGGCCAAGGCCTGGATGGGGTTCTGGGTGCAGATGGTTGAGTGGGTCCCATCATCCAGGGAGGACTTGCTGGGCTGGCTGCAGGGCTGCCGAGGTGGGGATGCTAGAAGCTGGCCTGGCAGAATCCTGCCTGCACTGCCTGTCCTGCTCCCAGGAGAGTGCCGCCTGCCCAGGGGCCTGAGGAAGACCAGATCACAAGAGATCTTGTGAGCAAAGGGGATTACTCCACCCCTGTCTTCCCTGCCTCTGGCAAAGTCTCACTCACCCTGGGGATGCTCTCTGGGCCTGGGTGAGGGGTGCTGCTCCCTGAGTTCCCTTGCTGGGAGGGGACCAGATTTGGTCCTGTGGGATCAGCTGCAAAGAAAGCCAAGCTCAGAAGGGCCCAGGAGTCCCCTCCCCACTGTACAGAAAGCGTGTCATAGCCAGGGACTGGGAGGGAGGGCCTGAACCCATACCCACAATTCCTTCCACTAAGGGGCAGGGCTCCTCAGCTGCGAACCTTGGGGCAGGTAATATGTGTGAGAAGGCTGCTTTCTGACAAGGCTCCTGGTTGCACTTGAAATAAAGGTGTGAAGCACTGTGCTGGGCTAGAAGACACTGATCTGTAACATCCGTATGCCTTCTTGAAACATGAAAGATGTTTCACAAAAGTGCAGCCTAAAGCTACATGAGATAAGGCAGGCTCTTAACAGATTCCCAGGGCAGAGTCTGAAGGCCTCTGCTGGGTAGGGGCCTCTTCCAAGTCCCCACAGATCCACCCTCAGGCCCACCTTGAGGCCTCCCTGCTGGGCCACCTCGTGGATTTTGGACAGCATTGACTGGAGCCGCCCGTTCTCTTCCTGCAGGACCTGGATGCGGATGTCATTGGCCTGCACTTGCCTCTCCATGTCATTCGTGATGTTGCCAGAGCCTGTGGAGATGTGTTATCTGGGACCCCACCCCACCAGGTCTGCCTCTTGTGCCCAATAGGACGGGACCCCAGAGTGCAGGCACACCAGCTGAGGTGGGTGGCCTGGGCAGTGCTCCGGGCCTCCCATCTCATCTTCCTTCTCCTGTGGCCTTGTTCCCCCTTCGCTGTCCCCTGCCTGCTGGAAGGTGAGAACAGCATTATAGAATTTGCAAGCTGGGTGGGACCTTGAGTTCACAGAAGACTTAGCAAACAAGCAAAAGAATCTATTCCAAGGCCACCTGTTTTTGGCAGGCCAGAGAGAAAGTGAGTTGTCCCAAGTCACACAGCCAGCTCTTGGGTGTGAGTGAAATCACAGGGATTCAGCAACGATGTTTTCTCCCACTGCTTTGGGGATGGATGCTTTCTTCCAGCTCTACAAACCTTGACAAGCTGCTGCCCGTTCTGGTTCTTGGTTTCCTGGTTTGTAAAAAGGGGCTGCTACCACCTTGTGGGATGGTTCAAAGGGGGGACAGAAGGGTCTGGCATGTAGTCAGTGCTCAGGAGTGATGACTTATCATGACCAGCTAAACTGCAGCAGATCTTCCTGACAGGTCTGCAAATGGACTCAGTTCCAGAGCTGGAGAGGCTGGGAAGAGAACCCAGGTCCCCTAACATCCAATCCTGTGCTAAGATGGGTACCTAGCACTCCTGTGCCATGGAGTCCAGGACACTAGACAGCTGGGTGCTGTGTCCTTGGAACCAGCCTTATGGTGGGGTTTGGGGAGAGGCCAGGAAGAGGGACATGGAGAAGCTGAGCAAGGACCGGCATGTGTCATGGAGAACACAGGCTACAGAAGCAGCCAGACTTATGTCTAAATTCGGCTGTTGTAACTGGGTGCGGTCATGTCACCTCTGGGCTTCCATGTCCCTGTCTACCTGGAGGAGTGGATAATGCATTAAGCACCTGCATGTCATAGTGGCTCTGTAGGGCAGCACTGCTGGTGCCCCCACCCACTCCACCACTCCCACCACCAGCCCCAGTGTCTTGCCAGGTGAGCCCTCAGCTGCCCGCCCTGGGCCCTGGCATACCCTCAGCACCATCCCAGGGCTCCTACTTTGGATCTGGTGCTCGCTGGGCCTGTGCAGGTCCGGGAAGGCCACCAGCAGCCGCTCCCGCTCCCTTAGCTCCACCAGCTCCTGTTCCAGCTCCGAGATGGTCAGCCGCAGGTCTGTCGTCGTGTGTTCCAGGCCTTGCTTCTCCCACTGCAGGCTCTGCAGCAGCTCCTGGTGCAGGGGGAGGCTCAGACCTGGCTCTGAGGATGGCCCCTGGTTCCCCTGGGGACATTGCTCCCACTCCCAGACATGAACAGGCCCACAGGCACTCAGCTGGCTGGAGGTTCCTCTGGTGAAAGGCAAGAGCCCACCCTGCCCTTGCCCTGCCCACTCCCACCTGCTGGGCCTGCAGCTGGCACTGCCCCTGCTCCCTCTCGCTCTGCAGGCTCTGCAGCTGCTCCTCCACATGGGCCCGCTGGACCTCGGCCTTGTCCAGACTGCCCCGCAGCTCCTCACGCTCCTGGTCCAGGCTGTCCAGCTGCTCCAGCAGGGCTCGCTGCTTGCCCTGCAGGGACTAAGCAGGAGTGGATGGGCAGAGAGGCTGTGCAGCCCACAGGGTGAGGCCCAGCCATGTAGAACTAAGGAGGCTACAGTATCTACTACCCTTTAAGCTTCTCCCTCGTGCCGTGTGTCTGTGTATGGGGGAGGCTGTGCATGCACGTGGAAAGGAAGGGGCAGAGGGAAGGCAACAGCAAGCAGATGCACACCCGACCTGGTCCAGGCCAGGCCCCAGCTTGCAGACCCTGCCCCTTTGGAAAGCAGTTGGCTGTCTCTGTTGGCCTTGCCCCCTACTTCTTTTCAGTCACACTCAGTACCCATTCAGAGAGGAATTCTGGGAAATAGGCTTTCTTCTTCTTCTTAGGTCTCCAGTCACATCAGCCTGTATCACTGAAACCCACAATTCCTGACTCCTACTCCAACACTGATCTGCTCTAAGTCCTGGCTCCACTTCTTGCTAGCTGTGCAGCCTTGCACAACTTCCTTAACCTCACCAAGCTTCAGTTTCCTCATCTATAAAATGGGGATGACAAGAGTATCTATCTCCTGCTGTTGTGGCAAGGTGTGAGAATGAGACGGCTACAGAGCCTGAAGCCCAGTACCTGGGTCACAGCAGACACCCATCCTGAGAAAAGCACCCACGTGGGGTAGAAAGGCTTTCCCTATCCTGGGCCCAAGCCTGACCCTGGGGACTCTCAACTGGGCTCCTGGCTCCCTGCTGAGCCTTTGAGAGTAAACCTAGCCAAGACAGCCCCTAGACCTGCCTCCTTCACTAGGTGACAAGTCACCTGCTCCCTTGGCCACAGCCAAGGACACCTATGAGGACCCATTGCCTAGGGCACAGGTACCCTGGGCTCACCTTCTGCCCTCCCCATCCTTCACCTGGCTGATAGACTAATCACCAGCTGATGGCATCCAGGTCAAAGGCCACTTTTTCCCAGGAGCCGTTCTGGATTCCCACAAGCAGAGATGCCCATCCCTTCCTGGACCCCAGGTAGCACTTTCCCTGCCCCTATTAGACAAATGTTAGGAGAGCGGTGGCATGTCTGCTCATCCTTGCCAGATGGAGGGCTCCTCCAGAGCAAGGCCTCGCTGGGCAGCAGTGTCTATCCTTGGGCCACTGTTCCCCTAGGGCCTGGCTCAGGGCAGACTCTCTGTAAGGGTGAGTTAAATTAAAACCTGGGTGTGTGCTGGAGAGCAGGTACCCTCCATCGATGAGCCCCCAGCCCCCACTAGTGGAGCTCTTCCTCCCTGCAGCCCACGATGCATGTGCCCAAGGCCTGGCGAGGCCCCGGCCTCACCTCCTGGTGGCGGACCATACTGTCGACACGGGCCTTCTCCTTGTCCAACTCTGTGCTGGCCCAGCGGATCTGCTGGCTCGCCCCGTCCAGCCTCCCTGCCAGCAGCTGCACTTGCTCCTCCAGCTGCTGCACCTGCCTCTCAGCTGCCGCCCTGCGCTCACCTTCCTCCTGCAGCTGCTGGGCCTTTGCCTCTGCAGGATTGAGCAGGCTGAGCAGGCGTGGGAGAGGGCAGGGCAGGGAAGCCCTGGTTCGACTCCCTGCACTACCTCTGACCCAGGATGGGACCTGAAGCTGGGTAGTTACATCACATCTCTGGGCCTCAGCGTCCTTAGCCACAAAATGAGGCTCTGAACCCCCGAGGTAGGATTGGAAAATAGAAGGTGCTCTCTGAGTAGGTGGCACCCCAGCTCAAGTTATCCCCCAACAGTGTGGTCAGTCAGGCCCACCCTCCAGTGGTTCCCTCTATCTTTACCATGGAAGCTCAGGGGACAGAGATGGAAGATGCTTGAGATGTGGCCTGGGGACATATGGTAAGGCTCCTTACCCACAGCCTGCGTGGACTCCTGCTGCTGCTTCAACTCTCCCTCCAGGGTGGCCACTTTTGTCTTTAGGTCACTTGTTTCTATGGCAGCCAAGAAAGAGGCCGTTCAGAGGGTCCCTGGGCCTGGCCAGTGGCCCTCATGCCCAGTGTACCCTGCAGAGTGGAGGCGACCATCACCGTGTGGAGGGGACACCTGGGATTGCGGGAGGAGCTCAGGGGAAGTACCTGGAGTCTGGGACCTGTCCACCCTGCTTCTCACTGACTGGCTGCCATGTGTCTACACCTTTCTGGGCCTCGGTTTCCTCTGCAGAGGTGACAGTAAGGCTCAGAAAGGGCAGTGACTTGCCAAATCTCTCAGGCCTGGCTGACTTCCAGTGCCAGTAGTGGCATCTTTTTGTGTAACAGCCAAAGCCAAAGAGGCTGCTCTGCTCAGCTGATGGTGCCAGGGAATTGCCTCCTGGAAGTAACCCTCAGTGACTGACAGGAGTAGGTGGATAAATACCCCAGCTGACTCCTCATGATGAGACAAGGCTTCTTCTGTACATTCCCCAGTGGGACCAAGCTGCAGCTGCTCACATCACTGGCTAAAGTAACCCTCAGTGACTGACAGGAGTAGGTGGATAAATACCCCAGCTGACTCCTCATGATGGGACAAGGCTTCTTCTGTACATTCCCCAGTGGGACCAAGCTGCAGCTGCTCACATCACTGGCTGGATGAACGGTCCCTTCTTTGCTGCCCACTCCCCAACCTGGCTTTCTTCCACACACACTGCTTGTCCTTGATGCCCCGTCTTGGGGTCTGCGTCTGGGAGCTAAGGCTGTAGCAGAGCCCTGGGGCACCAGGTGGTTATCCTCTGGGGCACAGACCTGCCAGCAGCTGCTGCTTGTCACGCTCCCACTTGGCCAGGCACTGCTCGGCCTCCTCCGCCTGCCGCCGCCGCTCCCCCTGCTCCTGCTGCAGTGCCTGCTCCAGCTTGTCCACCTGCTTCCTCAGGCCATCCTTCTGGCCCTCAGCCCCCTCCAACTGGGCCCTGAGGGGCCCAACAAGCTGAGTGAGAGCCCCCACATGCTTACTGAGGCGCATCAGGTCTTTGCTCTGCTCTGCTGCCCAGTGGTTCATGGTGGCAGCTGGCAGTGGCCTGAGCCCCATGCTGTCCTGCACCAGCTGCTGGAACTGGCCTAAGGACGAGGGCAAATTCTGGCTCTGACATAGGCTGATGACCACCTTGCCCACCTCCCGCAGGCTGCCCTGGACACTGGCACACGCGTCACAGGGCACCAGTGCCGTCTCAATGGTCTGAGAGTGGACACTCTTGGTGTTCTCAGAGATCCTGGCTAGACACCGCAGGGAGACTCTGATGGGTATGCTCTCCGGCTCTTGGCAAATCTGGGGCAAGCCTGGCATTGGAGAGGGGGTCCGGATGAACTTGGCAGTCATACATTCAGGGCTCCTGGCTGGCTCGTCCCTGGCTGTGGGCTTGGAGGTAAGGGTCTCCCCTTGGTTTGCCTTTTTCTGTGGTCAGGAAAGAAAGGAAAAGCAGGTGAGGGAGACGGGCCTGGGAGGTGACTGGTTCCCTGGGGAGGTTCTATGACAGTTTTGCCTGATGCTCAGACCCTCAGATGTTATCTGACACCAACTTGAATGAGAACTTTTTCCCTCTTTTCCACAGACTTGACTTACCAAGCCCAGGCCTCCTCTCTGCTGCCCCCATCTCCACCCCAGGTTTGATGTGATTATGTGCATGGTACTGGGAGAATAATGGTGACAGTAACAGCTGCTGGTTACTGGACTCTTGCTTAGTGGACTTGCCTGCTCCCATGTTGCCATAACCATTCTCAGTTTTAGTTTCCTCTCCATCACAGTGATGGTGGTCCTTCTCCACTGGGTGGTTGTGAGGATTATGGGATAACCCGTAACAAATGGGGCAAATATTACCCCCACTGTACAGATGAACAAACTTGAGGTTCACAGTAGGTAGGATTTTTCCAAAGTCCCACAGCATAAATGGCAGAGCCAGGCAGCCCAGACATGACCCTCATAGCTGGTGTTCTTAACCTTACTATGTGGGCCTTAACTGGGAGGCTCCAGAGTTCACACTGTCCCCTACAGTCAGTGGGGAGCCAGTGAAGGATGTGGTGCTCTAGGAAGCTGGAGCTGGGAGGGTTTATGGGGCTGACCACAGTTGGGGGGTGGAGAGTAGGGGCGGCCCACCTGGGGGGCCACTTGCTTGTAGAGCATGCTCAGCTTCAGCAGGCTATTCCAGAAGCGCCGCACTGTGAGCCCCACGGACATGCAGGGCCCTGCAGCCCGGGCAGGGGGCATCATCTGCTCTGGGCCAAGGTTCTCCAAATAGCTCATGCAGCTCTGAAGCAGCAGCAGGAGCCTGCAGGCAGAGATGTCAGGGTTGGCTGGAGCTGAGCCTGGTGGCAACGTGCCCTCATACATACAACTGGCAGCTTCTGGCTCTGGAGAATCGGCCCAGGCATCAAGGACTTGGGGAGTCCCAGAACATGCTCTGCTGGGCCAGCTTTAAACCCAACCCAGGGGCTACTTCCTCCAGGAAGCCTTCCCTGGCCCCAAGCTCAGCTAAGTGGCCTCTTCTGGGCCTCCTGGGTGGCAGCACTTCTGCCTGGCTGTTCGCCACTGGACCAGTGAATTCTGGTAGGCCGGGCAGGCCTCACCTCAGTTGTATTCTGAGTGTTCAGGAAGTTCTGGGTAAGCACCTGCCTTACATCAAGTGGCCCAGAGCCTTCACTTTACAGATGACAGAGCTGAGACCCTGAGAGGGGAAAAACCTACCCACAGCCACAGGGTAAACAAGGCAGAGGCACATGTACAATCTCCTGATACTAATCAGGGGCTTCTCCTGCAGGAGGAGCTGCTTCTGTTACAATGGAGACACAGAGTGAAGACAGCTAGGTGTCTATCCTAACCTCCAAGTTCAAAATTAGAGTCAGGTGCTAATCTTAAGGAAATAAAATATTTTAATTTTAAAATAACATGGGAACCAAGCTATTTTAAAGGAAGCAGTATTGTATTATATTTACAACACGTACCAGGAAGATAAGTGGCCTTTTCTTGTTGTAGATGCAAGGGGGTTATTCCAAGCCCATGGGGCCTTGGACAGAGAGAGCCTGGGGGAGGAGTGGCCCCTGGCCTCCAGGCCCTACCCCTTTCTGAGCCAAGGTGTCCTCCTCTGTGAATGGGGACAACAGTGCCAAGTAGCACTAGTGAATGGGGAAGCATCTGGAAAAAGGACAGATGTGGCATTGACAGAGCAATCTGTCTGCTTAGACAGACAAACCCTCACAGTGGGAGACTGCTGTGCTTTCTGCAACCTTAGCCATAATCCCATCTCCTGACATGAACTGAGCACCTCTAAATGCTACACCATGGGCTGGTGCCATGGCCCTGTCCTCCAGGGTTCTCAGGCTGGTCTAGGTCTCAGACCCAGTGGCCTCTGCCAGGAGTTACTTACATACACAGAAACCCAGTGGAGGCTCCAGCTAACTCAACCAGAGGTGGGCAAGGGGGTCTGGCAGGGCTGGGGGCATGTCAACAATAGCTTCACAAGGAAGAAGATAGGTAAACTGAGCCTTGATGGATGAGTGGGGCTCGGCCAGACCTGGAAGGGGCAGGCAGGACATTCCTAGCACAGGGATGGCATAACGTAAAGTGTGTTCTGTGCTCAAGCATGTTCAGCCCCTCATAGGTCATAAATGGTGCTTTCATACCGAGGGCTCCTCCAGGCCTCCAAGTTGGTAACTCTGGCTTCTCTGTCCCCAGGTAGGTCATCCTGCAACCGCTGAAGTCCCTCTCATGTCTTTGCTGCCTGTCTGGATCCCATGGCTTTATTAGTGTATAAGGGTTTTGAGCACTGGAACCTGGATTGTGGTCCCCAGGAAGTGGAAGGCTGATGACCATGTTAACTTGAATGATAGCACAGAAGTGGTGGGGCTGCAGGGGAGTCCACTAGCCTCTTCCCAGCAGGGCCAGGGTTTGGAAAAACACATCGCATGTCTGGCCTTTTTATACACGGAAGGAACAGCATAGCCCACAAGATGCCAGGAAAAAGAGACTGGGATGGAAACTCTGAGCAGTAGCTATGGTGTCCCTGACACACAGCAACCCTGAGGAGGCAGCAGGGAGAGGCCGGGAGGCAGCAGTCAGAGCTGTGGTGCCACAGAGACTAGCAGGGCGGCTAGCAACTCCCTGAGGTGAAAGGATGACAGCACAGCACAGCTCACAACAAAACACAAAAAAGGTGAGATCACTTTGAGGGTCCTGAGCTGATCTGGCCCTGACAGGTACTCAGTCAATAGCGATTATTGTTACCAATGTCATCACCACCTCTGGAGGGGCTCCTGTGGCTGCTACTGGTCTAAGGGGCAGGTGCTGGCATTCCAGGATGACCAGGTTCAGTCAAGACCCTCACCTATCAATGACCAGCTCCAGCAACACAGCATGGGATAGCTGTGTGAACTCAGGGTCCCCTGGCACGTGGTCGTAGTGCTCCAGCAGGGCCACCATGTCCAGGTCACAGGCCATACGGTCAGGGAACTTCCAAGAGGGGAAGTGCACGGGCCCGGCACGGGAGAACACGTCTACGATGGTGCCCTGCAGGTCGGTGAGGTCCTTGCGCAGGCTGTCCATGCAGGCCTGGCTGCCCAGCAGGTGTGCCATCCTCACAGCTCCTGGAGCAGGCAGGAGAAGCCCTGTTAGCCAGATCCATGTGGCTGCTGCCAGAAAAACCTTCTTAAAGCCTGAATCTGACCAGTTGCTCTAGGCCAAAAGTCCACCCTAGACCCTGGGGAGAAGTCTGTTCCCTAGCCCTAGGTGACAAGGCCTTTCAGGGCCTGGTCTGGACAACCTCACCAGCCTCCCTCTCACTCACTGTACCCTACACCCATAATGACAATTCCAACATTCTAACACTCTTTTTTTTTTTTTTAATTTTATTTTTTTAAAAGATGACCGGTAAGGGGATCTTAACCCTTGACTTGGTATTGTCTGCACCACGCTCTCCCAAGTGAGCTGACCGGCCATCCCTATATAGGGATCCAAACCCGTGGCCTTGGTGTTATCAGCATCATACTCTCCCAAGTGAGCCACAGGCCAGCCTGACAATTCCAACATTCTATAAGTACCTCCTGAGAGCCTGTGTATGCCAGGTTCCCTGCTAAATGTTGGGCGGATATAGCTGTGAACAAGAATGTCCCTACCATCCTTCCCTCCCAGAGCGAACCCTCAAACAGGGCACAGACAACCAATAGAGTTATAGCTACAGCATGATGAGGACTGCTGGGTCACATAAGGCCACTGTCATCTCCTGCCTAGACCACTGCAGCAGCTCCCAGCTGGGCCACAGGCCTGTCCACTCCAATCTGATCAACTTCAGCTCCAGAGATCTGGGCCACATGATGCTGGCCAACACCCCTTGGGACTCCCTGTGGTCAATGGGAGAAAGGCCATCTCTGGCCACATCCTTCACTTCTCCCTCTCTAGGCCCTCTCTCTACCCCATACTCTCCACTCCTACCACCATCAGCTATGAGAAGCAGCTCATGCACACCTGGCCCATCTGTCCCCTCTGTCTGAATCATACTTCGCCATCCATTAGGGGGGAACTCCTCTCATCCTTTAGGGTTCCTGGGTATCACCTCCTCCGGGAAGGCTTCCCTGAACACCCTTCAGGCTGGGTTAGATAATCCCTCTGGGCTTCCCCCATCAGCCCTGATTGCTCTCTGCTGGAACAACTTCCTCTCCTGGCCATCTCAGTCTCTGTGGTATCCCCAGCTCAGCCAGCCTAGGGCTGGTTAGCTCAGTTGATTAGAGTATGGTACCAATAATACCAAGGTCTAGTGTGCAATCTCTGTGCAGATCTCTGTTTGACCTCCAGCCACCAAAAAAACCCCAAACAAAAAAATAAGCAAACAAAAAAAATCGCAAAGAAGAAAAAACATTTTTTTGACCATTTATTTAGTTTTGACAGCTGGCCAGTATGGGGATCCAAACCCTTGACCTTGATGTTATCATCATCACGCTCTAACCAGGTAAGCTAACTGGCCAACCCATGCAAAGAAAATTTAAAATGTGTTGACTTTTGGGGGAAAGCAAGTCCTAAAGTATAAGAGAGGAAAACCTGAAAACTTGTATTGAGATCTATTCTAATGACTCTGATGACAGGGAGCCCATCACATCTTGATACAGAGAGTCCCAGCCATGCCCTTCCTGGCTACGTGGCCTCGGGAAAGTCACCATACCCTTCTGAGCCCCAGCTGCTGCTTCAGCTGTAAAATGGGGACACTGTCCACAAGCAGGCCGGGTTGTTGTGAAGCTTTTAAAGGGGTCATGAATAAAATCCTTGGTCCAAGGCAAGGCACCAGTAAAAGTTCTCAAGCAATACAGGTTGAGTATCCGTTATCCAAAACGCTTGGCAACAGAAGTGTTTCAGATTTCAGATTTTTCTGGATTTTTTAATATTTGCAGATACTAACTGGTTGAGCATCCCTAATCTGAAAACCTAGCATCCTTAATTTGAAAATCTGAAATCTGAAATGCTCCTTTGAGCATCATGTCAGTGCTCAAAGTTTTGGATTCTGGAGCATTTTGGATTTTCAGATTAGGGAGCTCTACCTGCATTATTATTATTAATAATATTATTGGCAGAAACAACAGCAAAGACCATCCTTGTCTTGAGCCCATGCCTGACTACTATATTCCCCAATTCCCCTAAAGCCCACACAGAATGCTTTTTGTCCATCTTCTGGAGTCTGTGAACACCTGAAGACGTGATTTGGATGAACCATCCATCGCCCTTGACTCAGAAAGTGGAGAAATGAAACACTGTCCTGGTCCCTCCCGGGTTGTGAGTCGGTAGCTAGTTTCAGAGCCAGCACTCTGTTGGGAGCTGGGCAGCTGAGTGGATGCTGAGCCCTGGTCCCTCCCCACCCTGCTATCAGGGGCCCCTTGTCATTTCTGGATTTCTTAGCAGAAGGAATCCTCTTGTTTCCCCCACTACCCCCTGAAATGCAGGGGTTTCTTGGCCAGTATTTAGGCCATGGCCCATTCTGCCCCCAGCAAGTCCAGGCCTAGCTGAGAAAAACCTCCTCTCCCAAACCTATCCTCCCCCACCTCCCTCATCTCAGATAATGGCACCCCACTGAGTGTGCTTTCTCAAATCCCCTTCCTCTACCCCCTCATTCCAGCACCAACTGCTACGTATGTCCAGACCACACTAGGAACCCAGTACTTCTCTCTACGACACTGCTCCTGACTCCACTATCTCCCCAGACCACTACCACAGCCCCCCATGAGGGGTCACCACATCCTTTCTGCCTAGTACCATCTCATCCATTCTGTACACGCAACCAGAGTGACTGTTGAAGAGGCAACTGCTTAAAGTCTTTTAATGGCTTTCTATAGCACTAAAGATTGTGACACTTCCTGGGGCTTTGGCCCTGTGTGGTCTGCCCCCATCTTAGCATCTCACCACCCAGAATGTGCCCCTCCCCACACTTCCCCTAGCTAAGATACCTCCCTCAGGTCTCCACCCAAACATCCCCTCCTCAGGAAATCTCCCCAGGTCTCCAGGCTGGGTGAGATCCCCTGTTACACATTCTTAGAACATCCTGTTCTTTTTCTTCCCAGCACACACCGCCACCAGAATAGAATCATTATTTGAGTCTGTCCCCCTTTCAAGCACATTTGTCTTTTGAGTTCACTGGAGTATGACCTGGCTACCTGGGCCGAGAGGCCTGAGGGCCAGCCTGTGCCCACAGGTGCTGGGAAGTTCAGACATCCAGAGGTACCCTAGAGCTGAACTGGACTCTCTGGACTCTCAGAGGACTGGGCCTTGCCCTCACCTCTGCGTGGTTCCTGCCTGTAGAGTTGGAGTGACCTGAGTGAGTCTGGCTCTTGGACTAGCCTGTAGGCTCCAGGTCAGAGGCTCATCCAGGTGCCTGGCTTCCTGTTTCAGGTGCAGGGCTTTCCCTAAGCAGCTCTCCAGTCCCTAAAATGGATAAAGGTGAGAGTGAATGAGTTCACAGTCAGTGGTTTCCTCGGGGGCAGGGTGGAAGGTGAACGGGAGAATGCAGAGGGTGTTCCAGGCTGGAAAAATGGGGTGAAGGAAAGGACAGGTGGGACACTTGCCTTGAGCTTGAGCACAGAGGGTGTGCTTCAATAGTGCTAGCTCTGTCTAAAGGACCTACTGTGTACCACTTCCTTGAATCTGCTTCCTTTATACAGAAGAGGAAACTCAGACTCTGGAAAGTTGTTGGCTAGCCCAAGGTCACTCGGGGAACTGGGATTGTGAGTATGATATCTCTGCTCTGTCCTCAGGCCACACAGCTTCTAGAACAGCAGTGTCCAAAAGAAATATAATGCAAGCCACATATGGGATTTTAGATTTTCTCCTAGCTGCTGATGGGGTGCAGGAAATACTACCCCAAAACATGGCACCTTGGAAATTGAGAAAACAGCAGAAGCAGGAAGGCCACTCTCACCTTTCACTCGTCCTTCTTCCCTGAACAGGCCATAAAACCTAGGAAGGTTACTCTCTGACCTTCTCCCTCCCTTCTCCTCTGAAGACCCTCATGTGACAAGTGTCCTGACCTATGTGGGCTTGGGAAGGAATGTCACACAGATTCGCCAAGAATCTGAACAGGCTTTGCTAAGTTCCCTCCAGTTTGTTACTATTAGATCATACCTTTTTGTCCTCCAATTATACTTCCGCACAACTGTCTTTAAAAAATACACAGATTTCCCCATTTCTTTGGGTCTTCATTTTTGAAGGCTCCCATGTCATAGAAGACATTTATTAAATAAATTTGTATGTTTTTCTCTTGTTAATCTGTCTTTCCTTATAGGGGTCTCAGCCATGAACCTTAGGATGGGTGAGGAAAAGATATTACTTTTTCTCTCCTACACCACATTAAAAAGAGTAAAAAGAAACAGGTAAATTAATTTTTTTTTTTTTTTTTAAAAGATGACCGGTAAGGGGATCTCAACCCTTGGCTTGGTGTTGTCAGCACCACGCTCAGCCAGTGAGCAAACCGGCCATCCCTATATAGGATCCGAACCCGTGGCCTTGGTGTTATCAGCACCGCACTCTACCGAGTGAGCCACAGGCCGGCCCTCAGGTAAATTAATTTTAATATTTTATTTAACTCAATACACCCTAAACATTATCATTTTCAACATGAAATCAATATAAAATTAAGAAAACTTTTTATGGGCCGGCCCGGTGGCTCACTCGGGAGAGTGCGGTGCTGATAACACCAAGGCCCCAGGTTCGGATCCCATATAGGGATGACCGGTTTGCTCACTGGGTGAGCGGGGTGCTGACAACACCAAGTCAAGGGTTAAGATCCCCTTACCGGTCATCTTTTAAAAAAAAAAAAAAAAAAAAAAAAAAAAAACTTTTTTTTTTTTTTTTTTTTTTTTTTTTTTGGCATTAAGCTGCAAAGTCCAGTGTCTATTTGACAATTACAGCACATCTCAATCTGGACCAGATGCCTTTCAAAAGCTTGACAGCCACATGGGCTGGCAGTTACTGTACTGGACAATGCAGGTATAGAGGGTGAGATGCAGTATGTTCATTCAGCAAACAGGGACTGAGTATCTACTACATGCTGGGCACCACATCAAGAATAGGGACAGAGTAGGGCACACAGAGCTCTGTCTTCCAGAAATCACCAATTATGTATGAGAGACTCTTTACACAGAGTAAGCTTGGATGTATCAGCTCAGGATGGAAAGCAATGTGTGTCCGTCTTAAACACTGACATACACACAAAAACACACACATGCCCACATCCCACACACATGCCCACATCCCGCACACATGTTGCCTTGGCAACAGCCTCTCACGAGATATTGCTGCCCAAGAGATTTTATGTCCCTAAGGAGTGACGTGGAAACAAAGGGCAAAAACAGACTCAAACATTCTGGGCTTCCTTTCCTTGGATGGGCATGAAGAAAATAAAAAGCTAACAAGAAGTCCCAACCTGGGAGGAAGTGTATTCAGGTGGCAAAGCTGAATACTCATAAGCTTGCTTGTGATGGCACCAAGAAACAGATCTGTTCACCTTCAAATAAGTACATCTGGGGCCATCTTGGATACCAAGTCCCACTAGATTCTGAAATGCCAAAGCATCAAGAATATCCAAGGTTACCTTACATTGTTTCTTCTGGAAAATGAGGCCATTCAGACATAAGCATGGTTTGAGAAGCATGATTTGAGGTGTGTGCCAAGTGAAGAGCATCTGACGTGGGCTTTCTTTGTAATTCCTAGGTCTTGAGTGCAACCCTCAGCCTGAAGCTGCCAGCCCTGCACTGTACCTGTGACGACACAGGTGATGGCACTAAGAGCAGCAGCTAACTCGCCTCTCCTCAGTTCCCTGGGGTTCAAGGTGAACTCTGACTCCCAGATAAGGGCAGGAGTCTTTCCTCACTCCCTTTCAACATTCAAGCCCCTTTTCTCTCAAACTAGTACCCTACCTTACTGATAAAGGTTATGCCTACCTCCCAGCCATTGTGCCTGGTGAAATTCAAAGTCACCACCATGAAGACACTTTAGAAACTCTAAAACCGTCTATGTGGCAGTTGCCAGTCTCTGATCCAAGACAGTTAATTGCCTTGATCCCGTAGGACACTAAAGGACTGAGGAGGGCAAAGGAATAATTAACTGCACTAGTAAAGGAGTAAGATTGGCCTGAGTTTGGATTCCCACTATACCAACTCTAAACTTCACTGTCCTCATCTGTAAATAGGTTGCTATAGGAAATAAATGATGTAATACATGCAGTGTTTGACACAGGGTCTGGCTCATAATAAATAGTCAATAAATCCTAGCTATCATTATTATTCTACATTAATAATAACAACAATGACATAAACCAGCTCTGTGTGTGTGTGTGAGAGAGAGAGAGAGAGACAGAGGGAGAGAGAGATGAGATCTCATCCTTGCCCTATTTCACAGAGAAGAAACTGAGGTCCAGGCAGGGACTCAGAGCCTGCTCCCCGCATTCAGGAGCTGGGAGGGAGGGGAGAGAGGACAGGGATGGGAGGATCTCAGGAGAGGGAGAGAAGCGGGCGGGAAGGTGTGCCTCTGGGAAGAGAGGGCTGCCCCTGTGGGAGTGAGGGGTGAAGCCTAAAGAAGAGGCCCTGATTTGAGAAGGTCAAAGGGGCTTGAGGGCGGGGCTGTGGAAGGCAGGGGATGGAACCTAGAAAAGGCAGGCCCACGGGAAAAGAGATCAGTGGGATTTAAGGGAGAGGGACTTGGAAGGGGACTTGGAGGAGGTGCGCCTGAAGCGAACGAGGGGGGCGAAGGGAGAAGGAGGTGGGGCTTTGAGGCAGCGGGCCTGAGGGACGAAGGGCTCTCGGCAGTGAGAGGCCAACGGGAGGGAGCTGGGGCCTTGGAAGGCGGGGTAACAGGGAGAGAGGAACTGGCCTGTGGAGTAAAGGAGCGGCCAGGGCCGCGAGGTGAGTGCGGGGGGCGTCTGGAGGATGACGTAGGATATCTCACCTGCCTCCGGCGAAGCGGCCTAAGCTTCTGCGTCTGGCCGGCTTATGGATCTGCCCCAGACGAACCTGAGGCTCCTGGGAGCCCCCGAAACCCACTGCCTGGCGCCCTGACCACTGCCGTGGCAACGGCGTCCCGTGCTGCCGTGCCCGCAGGGAGGGGCGGGAGGCACGCCGCCGCGAGGGGGGCGGGTCCCGGAAGTGCGTCACACCGCCGCTCCAACGACGACTTGCTTGCTGAGGCGCGGCCATCTTGTGAGCTCGTCGTGTCGTCCGTTCAGGGATCCTGTCTTGACGCGGCACTGGTCACTGACACCGAGGCGGACTGGCAGCTCTCAGCGTCGCAGTCATGCCGGCCGGACCCGTGCAGGCGGTCCCTCCGCCGCCGCCCGTGGCTACCGAGCCCAAACAGGTACGGCGCCCCCCTCACCTCGACTGGCGGCCCCCAGCCTTGGCTTGGGCCTTCCCCGCCGGCGCGGGCACTTTTCGCTCGCGCAGGAAAGAGGTGGCTCTAGAGGTTTTAGAGAGACTGCAAGTCCCAGGAGGCAGCGCGCTTTTCGCGCTGCGCCGCCTTCCGGTAGCGAAGCGCGCTCTTTAGAACATTGGTTCTCAAAGTGGGCCGCGCACCCTCAGGATCAACACCACTTGGGAGCTGATCAGAAATGCAGTCTCCACCTCAGACCTTCTAAATAGGAATCTGCATCTTAACAAGATTGCAAGGTGGTTCGTTAAAGTGTGAGAAGCACTGAACCAACCCATTCACTGGTCTTCTGTGCCAGTTGGGCCCTCCCGGCCCCCCCACGCCTTTACCCAGTAGTCCCTTATTTCCCAGCCTGGCCGGTACATCTGTGTATGTTTCGACCTAAAGGAAGAAACTGCGGCAAAAATATAAAACAGCTTATTTGGGCCAAATTTTAAGATTGTAACCCGGGAACCACAAATTCAAGCTGTTGAAAATGAGCTCCGGAGGACAAAAGAGGAGTCAGTAATATTTAAAGAAAAAAGGAGAATCTTAAAGGGGCAGTTCCAAAATTGTTTACCAAGAATTTACATTGGTTCACCAAAATAACATAAGATACTTATTGGCTATACATTGCTCTTTGCGTCATAAATTCCAGAACCCTTGAAATACAGCAAGGATGAGGGTTGTGTTGTACAACTTGTGATTACGTTTAGGTAGTTTATACCTGTTGAGGTGGCATCTAGTCTGGAAACAATTGCTAAAACGTGTGCTTTAGCAATTATGCCAGACAAGGGTGAGGTAGATGTGACTGCAGCCCTATGCTTTGGGCCTTTTAAATTTAGCAAACCTTGTGTTTCTTAGATTTCTCTGAGCTACATTCTTTCTCAGGTGTTAATTCTCAGCACCTACCTGATGCTTACCATAAGCCAAACACTGAGCCAGGCTCTGAGGTTACTGGAATGAATAGGCACATTAGGGAGCTCAGGTTAGTGGGAAGACAGACATACTTGAATGTTCAACATATTGTTCAGATTGCTGTAAATGATACAGTGCTGGCCAGCCCTTAAAAAGCTCTCAATCAGCTGAGAAGGAAAGATGGGCATAAATAATTGCAGTATGGTATGATGTGCCCTATAATGTCAGGTACAAAGGAGGTGATAATCCAATCAACATTGCTTTTTGGGGTAGAGGAGAGATTAAGGTAGGGGAAGCTCACAGGAGTGAGAGGTAAATTGCTTTTGGAAGGATGAGTAGGACTTCATTGGGTTGGAGATTGGGGAAGAGAAATAGCATCCTTGATTCATTCGGCAGACAATTATTGAGCATATGCTAGGTGCTGATCACTGCTTTGAGTTCAGAATACAATGAGGAATGTGACTCAAGAGACTCATGCCCTTTTCTCAAATATTTAAGTGCCTGTGTGTCCCTGGCATTTTCCCAGGCACTGGGGGAAAATAAACAAGTTAATACTAGGTAATAAGTGCAAAGACAATGAGATAAGAATCAGATGGTGCCTTGGTCAAGGGTAAATGAATAAGCGTGGTTGAAGTATAAGGTTGGAACAGTGGTAGCAGGAGATGTGATTCTAAGGATTAGAACTTTTCCTTGAAGACAGCGGGGAGAAAAGGAAGAATTTTGAGCTGGATAGTGACCTTTGTGGTTCAGAAATTCAGGTAGGTAGTGATGTGGAGAATAGTTAGGAGGACAGGAGACCAGTCATACTCTATTCAAAAGACACTGGGGCCTGGCCTAGATTGCGGCAGAGGATGGGGCAGAGGGGATAAGCAAGCTCTTGTCACAAAGCGGCTGATCGTGCATGCTCTTCAGCCAAAATGATGTGTTGGAATCTTGGTCTGCCATTGGGCTAGCTAAGCTCTCTATTCCTTCGTCTTGTCATCTGTAATATGGAGATAATAAGAGTACTTACCTCACGGGGCGCTCATAAGGGTTATAAGTGTTAATATATTTAAAGTGTTTAGAAAAGTATCTGGGACCCACTCTGCTTGATAAATGTTTTTATTATTGAATGTGGAGGCTGAGGAAGGGAGAGGAGGCCTGAGTTTTTGGCATGGATGACTGGGTAGCCGTTCACGAGGAAAGAGGTTAGGGATGAAAGTGCCCAGGAGTCAGCTGGATCTAAAGCTCTGTGGCACACAAGAATGATCTGGAACATCAATTTGGGTAGGACTGTTCAACCTACAGGTGGTAGGGGAAGTGGAGGACAGTGGGAATACTATGAAAAGAACCAAGAACAGAATTTTGAAGGTCTCCAACATTACAGGGCAGGAAGTAAAACGGGAGCCAGGAAAGAAACTTGGGTGACATGGTGAGCAAGAAGAAAAGACAGGTGACAGTTGGGCCTGGGAATTGAGTGGGGAGTTTTGTTGAGTAGAGAATTTTGAGAAAGACTGGTCACCAGTCACACTCAGATGATGGTTGTAGGTGGCTGTAGGCATTGATTTTTGACTGGCAAGAGCACTTGAAATGAATGGGGAAGTGAGGAAGTGGGAACAGCAAGACTGCAGAGAAGTCAGACGTTTAGCTACCAGAGGGAGGAGGAGGAAGAAGGCAGCAGCAGAAAGAACATCAAGGCAGGGGAGAGACTTTATTTGTCTATGATGAGAGACTTGACCCTTTGTTTACTAAAGGGAAGAAGCTGCTGAGGGAAGACTATTGGAACTGATGGGACAATTAATGTAGAATATTCAAGTGGAGTTGAACAAAACATTTGAGCATTGAATTGTGGTTAAGACTGTGAAATTGGAAAGCTCTGTTGGTTAGGGTGCAGTGTTATATAACACCATGGTCAAGCATTTGGATCCCTCTACAGCCAGCAGCCAAAAAAAACCCCGCCAAAAAAACAAAACGAAAAAGACTGTGGAATGGATGCAAAGGGAAAGGGCATTCAAGGAAAAAGGAGCTGCCAGCAGGGAATTTCCTGTTTATTCAGCAAAAAATCATTAAATATCCCGTACCAGAAACAGCGCTGGGTGCAGGGTTACAGATGTGGCCTTCTGGATTCTGGAACATGGTTTCTCAGAATGTAGTCAGAGCCTCTGCATCTTAATCACATGGGCACTTGGTAAAAATGCAGACTCTGGGTCCCACTAAGACAGTCTAACAAGGGCAAAGTCAGGGAGGCTACTCTTTTCACTGGTTCTCCGGGAGCAGCCCATGCAAGCACAGTGTGGTTAAGAGAACTGCTTTTCTCAAGCAGAGCATTCTAACCCAAGGGAAGTCTGTGCTCTCAACAATATTTTGGAGGAGTTTAATGTTGGGGATTCCTCTCTAAACCAGGGACTTCAATACCTTATTTCCTTTTCCTGTTTTCACAGCCCACAGAAGAAGAAGCATCTTCAAAGGATGATTCTACCCCTTCCAAGCCAGTGGTGGGGATTATTTACCCTCCTCCAGAGGTCAGGAATATCGTTGACAAGACTGCCAGCTTTGTGGCCAGGTAAGATAGCTACTTCTGTTTGAGTGGGTCAGAAGTGGATTTTGGCACAAAGAGTTCCTGAATCAGCACAAGAGTAATGTTGGGGATTTTAGAGAGGCATTGTTGGCTTAGGCCTGTTAATTCATCTAAAACTATAAGACGGCAGTATTAACCTAAAAAAAACACATAGACAAAAATATCTCCAAGTACATTGAGTTTATTTAGGAATAGATATAGGATTATAGGGCTGGCCAGTTAGCTCAGTTGGTTAGAGTATGGAGTCATAACACCAAGGTTAAGGGTTCGGATCCCTATACTGGCCAGCCACCAAAAAAATAAGAATGAAAAAATAGGATTATAATCTGGAATGCATACCATGGCAGGCCATGAATGCCTTGAGTGAGGGAAGGGTAAGAGAATACTTTTATATTGGCAAAAAGGGAGAGGTTCATGTAAGCTGCTTGGAAACAGAATTCATTGGTTTCAGAGTCTCAAAGTCAGATTTGTCACCAGTTCATTGGTTGAGGTGCCGTAACTGGATAGTTTCTTCTCCAAGCATATAGTTTCTTCTCCGGGCATCTTATATGAATTATTACAGTTCTAAAGAATATCTAATGATGAACTTTGTCACAGAAACGTGTGTACGTGCAAAGCAGGAGATGCATGAAAGACATGAAGGGATTTCTGATGGGTTTTTAGAAGGTCCTTGGAGACAGTTCTTACCTCAGACAAGCAAGCATGAGCCCTGCCTTCTTTTTGCCTTTCCTGGCTCTATTTTGTCTAGGTCCCACAAAGTGATTTCATCAACTTTCATGGCAATAGGGCTGGCTGCTTAGCTCACTTGGGAGAGCATGGTGCTGGTAACACCAAGGGCAAAGGTTCGGATCCCCGTACCAGCCAGCCACCAACAAAACAAAACCTTCACAGCAGTGACATGTTACCTAACATGCAGACTGGCATCTCCAGCATAACACAGCAGTAGCCAAAGTGAGAGTCACACCCACTTCCACAGTCACCAAGAATTTATGCTTCCAAATGGGCCTGAGTCAAGTGGCCGTAGATTTTTAGTTATGGTGATTGCATTTGTGGGCATTTCTAAAATCTGCAAACTTGCTTTAATTTACATTGCAGTGAAAGGACAGATCAATATCTCATTCTAGGATAAAACAAGCAAGCAGGACTCTGTGTTCTACTTCTGCTGGGTTCACACATATTCATGCAGCATGCAGTAGAAATCAACAACCC